AAACCTGTAATTTATTTTAGTACTGTTGTCACATAAATGGAATTGCAGATTAGTTGGATAGGAGTCAATATTCATACTCGGACAAGAATCTCACACCATTGGCGGATATAAGGGAAAGTTTTATCACACTAACAGAAGAACCAAGATGAACGCAGGTAATAATTACGAACTAACTGTTCGCGATTTTCTAGAAAATCTGTTTAAACATACTTCAGCAATCATTAATGTACAGATATTGTAAATACACGTGTGAATTCCATATGTATGTAAAAATTACATGTGAAATTATTGCATTTGTATAGAGTATTTAAAAATACAACCGAGGTAATATTTAAGGAGGTATAGGCAACCTGCCCAAGGAAACCCACGATACATTGCAATACATTTTAGCAATACGCAGGTGCTATCTGGGTTATATTTTATTAATATTATGCATTGATATTTCCGAAATATTGACCGGAAATATTATAGCAATATTATGATTGTAACGTGCTGAGCGGACATTGCAAGGTTCTTGCAACATTCCAGAAATATTTAAACAATTTTCAATATATTTCCGGTAACATTGCATTATTTCAAGGGAAACTTTTGGCAATGTTGATAAAATATTTCTGTGCTGTGTGGGAATGTCTTCGCTAGCTAGACGACGCTAGCGATGGGGCTATACAGTCAGAAGTATACAGCATTGTTAGCAGGGAAATTAAAGAGGCTATCGAAATTGAGAGGATAAGACAATTTCTACAAGCTGATCATGATAATGACATCATGAATAACGCTGAGAACAACTTATGAATCGATCTGGAAGATATCATCGGTGAAGACACCACGTTAGTACACCAGATAGGTGGAGGTGCAGAAGATTCTTCTATGTTACCTGGAGGTAGAGTTAAAATCGTAGAGCAGTCAACGAAACACTTTCAAAGATTTAGACTCGACGGAACGTCTACAAGATTTAAAATTCAGGCTCCTGAAAAAGATGTAAATCCTATGAGCTGGTTGAGAGAAGCTTTTGTGGATCTACACAGACATATGATAGAAAATCAGGGTGAACCTTCAGATCTTGTAGGAATAACGTTTAATTCTCCAGGATTTTCCCAAAACCGAGCAGCAGGCCTTTCATTTCGTCCTGCGCAAGATTGTAATTTCGAG